AAAGAGGGATCAGATGAAAAGCAGAAAGAGTAAGCCAGAGGACTTCCACTTGAAAGTGTAATTTTGAGGTTCTCTGAGTGTCTGAAATGAATTATTTTATATTTTAGACACTACTTATATTATACCAACAGCTTTAATCATTCTTTCTCTGTTAATTATGGTAGTATTTTAGCAATATCCCTTTCAATTCCTATGTATTTCTTTTAGTTAACAACCCAGCTTTTCATAAAAGGTATTAAAGTCGTCCTCGTTTACATCACAGTTACAGTGTTAAGTACTTGCATGCCACTGAGAAATCATTCGTTAAGCAAATATCCTCATGTTGCTGGCTTTTAAAAATATTTTTAATAAACTGCTTAGCTTACATTACATTGGGTAAATATGTATTTTAGAAAAATATTTAATAATTTGACATGTCTTATTCTTGCATTGATTATCACTTCATTTTCATGTACTGGTCTCTTCTGATTATTTGGCAAGGTGCATTTCTTAAAATAAGTACCCACCAAATAACTGTGAAGGGAATGACAGAGTGACTCTGCTCTATTTCCATTACTATCCCAATGGATCAAAGTTAGGCTAATTCGTTTCTTAAAATAGACATGATTGAGGAAACCGAAAGCAGGGTTATGTTCAAGGAACATCTGAAATTCCATTCAGGACAGGCTCATGCTTATTCAGCCCAGGCCCGTGTCTCTGTTGGGGGGGGGCAGTAAGAGTTCTGCGGGTGGCTGTAAGGGTCTCCCTGCCGTCATGCACGTGAGAGACAAGCTGCCATCCAAAACAGACAGGCCATCACACACAACTTGCTATCGCCCCATTTTCCTCACATTTTTCCTGATGATGACTATCTAACCTGCTTGCACCATTTCTGTAAAGTGGTGCATCCCACAGATGCAGCTTTAGCTGGTCTCCTATTTATGCTGCAGTATTTCAAGCATCCGGTCAGTCATGTTAACCCTTATAGTCTTATTAAGTTTTCATGGATCATTATTTTACTGTATCTCTAGATATGTCCTTAAAGTTGAAAACTCTACATGTTTAAATTCTGAAATTTTATTGACAAAATTTGTAATGTCTAGATTAAATCTTGAGAAGTAACCCGAGGGTTGGCTAAGTAGAGACAATGGGGATAGGGAAATGGTTTAGGAGAAAGTACTTTTAAACAGTAGGCTTTAGAATGACGGGCACGAGAGCAGATAGAATCTAGGAGTAAAAACAAAGGTTTTCCTCAGGAATAAGTGCTTTAGAAAGTCACTGTAGCATCATAGACAAGGTATGCTTTGGAATCAGCGACACAAGATAAGAGTCAGATGTCGGTTGGATTATACTTGTGAGACTTTGGACAACGCAATCAACCTCATGGAACTTGAGTTTCCTTATTGATAAGGCAGGGTTAACAATAATTATTTCATCAAATTCCTGTGTAAACTAGATGGTAGAACAATGAAAACACCTAGTGTAATGCCTATTATAAATCAGGCATGAAACAAACAAACAAACAACAAACCAAATTTAAGAGGAAGGTAAGTACCAGAAAATTGCAACAAGTTCACATTTCCCAATGTAAAGAATAGTTTTAGTTGATACTATCTTTAAAAAAAAGAGGTATCCCAAAGTCCTAAATAACAATTCGGTTAGAATATGTATTCAACTTGGAAAGTATAAACTGAGAAATAATTGTTTATCTAAAAGCTGGCATGGCATAAGTTGAATCTCTCCCGGACCTGCTAATGGAGTAGGACAAGAACCAGTGCATTCATTTTGGGTATGGCACAAAATAATCCTGTCCACAGAGGTCCCAAGGGTTCATTCAGAGCAGGTCTGTCACTAGCAGTAAACAAAAAACAGATGTGAAGAGCGAATGGCTCTGGGAAGTCATCACCAGGACTTTATAAAGAATAAATTGCAAGTAAAGCTAATACACCCACTAGAGGTTGAAAATTCTGTAGGGACATTGGAAGCAACAGCACTTGTTTTTCTTCCCCAGGAAAGTCTTGGTAGCACTAAGACTAAAATCAGGCCTTCATAAGATGTATAGACAACAAACCGGGAATGAAGCACCTATGGAGCTGTAGCTGATTAGAAACTTCGTGTTGAAGTGTCACTACCAATGGTTCAACAGTAACATGGAAGGCGTTACCTAACCTTCCATATCTTTCTTACCAAAGCTTTTCACAGAGGAGCTCGATTTCATCCCTTCTCACCATAATGAAAGCCAAACCTACCACTGCTGTCCAGGCGAGGGAAGGGCTGCTGAGGGTACACGTGCACCCACAGACATGCCTTCAGAGGTGAGTTAGTTCCCCAAACACTTCCCCAGCATCTTCTGGGTACTAGAGACATATTGTAGACCTTTAGAGTACAACAAGCGGATGTCTCAGTTTTTGCCCTTGAATAGCGGGGAATAAGGTGGGACCGGCGCAGAAGTACATGACCTGCACTACAAAGTGGTAAATGAAGATGAAGATGCGCAGATCTGGAGGAGTAGTGAGGCCAACTGGGAGAGTCCAGGGAGACTTTTGAAGGGTACGATGCCTGCCTGACTCGCTGGAATGTGAGGAGGATGACCCGGGTAAGGCTAAGTGAAAGGGGGACGCGGGGACAGCGCGTTGCAGGCGGAGGAATGGCCTGTGTGAAACTGTGGAATTGTGCCATCGTACTGGGTGTCATTGGGAATGGAGGAGATAAATCCCAGGGCGGGAATGTGCTGAAAAAGGGAATAGAGAAGCAGGTGGTGGTCAGGCCATAATAGGTTACATGTTTGAACATCTTGATTTTGGTCTTATAAGAAATGGGAAATGTTAAAAAGTTTTAAGAAGGGAGTGCCATCATCAAATTTCCAATCTAAATTCATCATCTTGATACCAATCTAAAAATTACATGTGAAGTTGTAAAGGGAGCCCAATTAAGAAGTTATGGAATCGTCTGTGCTGGTGCTAAGAGTCTAATAGAAGGAAATAGAAAGAGGGAAAGAGCGCATAGGTTCAGTAAGTTAGGAGGTCCAGTCAGAAAAAATGAGAGACTGGCGGAACATAGCCATTCAATAAAAAAGCATTTTAGAGGGAAAAACATGACTGAGCAGGTGCTGATGATAAACTCAGTGTAGAATGTGTTAAGACTGTAGAGCTTATGAGGGTTTTCAATCAGCAAGCGAGCGTTTGAATTATGGTAGAGGTCCAGGCCAGAGTGAAAACATTCCAAATCCTCAGCAAATACTTCATAGTCAAACGTGAGATAGAATCATGTTACCTGAGGGTTACACATTAATTAATTAACTAACTAACTAATTAATTAATTAAATGAACACTTAATGAGCACCCGATACCCAGCAGGCACTTTTTCAGACACTGTGGTTGAAGCAGTGAACCAGACAGTCTCTGCCTTCGTGAGGCTGGGAGTCTGTAACCTGGATGGGAAGAGCACTGGGGCAGGCAGTAATGCAGATGGAGGAACAGAAGGTCTCAAGGGGACTAAGAAAGGAGGGGAGGACCAGGAGAAGTAGGATCCTAGAAGTCAAGGAAAGAGAGACTGAAGAGAAAAAACATGGCCAACCTGTCAAACATGGCAGAGATGTTCGGAGCAATGAGACCCAAAACGTGCTGACCTGGAGGAAGGCAGTTTTGATGGAGTGCAGGGTACAGACTAGATAGCAGTGCACTTAGAGCTTAAAGAAAGCTGGAGATACTGAATATGAAATACATTTTAGACAGGTTTGGATAGGAAGTGAAACAGATTGACAGGATGAAGGCCAGAAGGGGAAGGACATTCAAACCAGAAATCTTGAAACTTTATCTTTGGCTCAGCTTCTCCTTCCCAGTGGACTCTGGTCATCTTTACCCAGATTCTCTACCAATAATACAGACTTAACTCCTCACCACAGCATCCCTGTTTCTGTATGGGCCCTCACTAGTCTTAGACACCCTAACTTTAAGCTTTGCCTCCTTTCCATCATTTTGATATCTAATCCTTGCAAGACCTGTCTTTTCTTCACTTTCTATTGTAACCTCTCTACTGTAACCCTTAGCACATGATCTGGTTTGCTAGCCTGACAAAAATTCTCTCCACTCTTGTCCTTTTACTTGGCAATGCATCTTACCCATCTGCCAAAATAGTGTTGCAATAACACATTTCTTTCACCTCACTCCCCTGATCTAAAGGATTTAGGGCCTTTCCTGTGCCAACCAAATGAAGTGAAAACCTATCAAGCTGCCATTCAAATTTCTTCACAATGTGATTCCAATCAAGCTTCTTTGTCTTATGTTCATTTCCCCAAAACCATGAAATCCAGTCAAATTGGCCTGGTTACTTTTTCCTAAGTTACATTTTTTTCTACCTTAGCCACAAATTCTCTTCCACGTTGTCCATTTTTTTTTCTATCCTTTAAGTCCAAGTTCAGTTGCTATTTTTTAAATAAATTTTTTGTCAGAATACCTACACTGCTTTTACCCTTTGAAACTATATAACACTTTATCCATTGTGATGTCTTTGTATTCTAGATACTTGTATATTATGTTTATGATCTCTACTTACTTTAAGATCTAGGAGAGAAGAGAATATGCTTAACATGGTTTATTATTAATACATGGCATATGACATACAGCAGTTGTTTAATAATGTTTAAATGTTAGTGAACTCCCAAAGAGATGAAAATATTCATTTTAGAGTTCAAAAGGATCTTAGAGATGATATGGGCAAACCGTTTTACTTTATAGGTGAAAAAAATTGTAGCTAAGAAGTGTTAGTGACCTGCCTAAGTCACATGACTGGTCAGCAACCAATCCCATTGCCCGACTCTCAGTCCAGACTGCCCTCAATTTCATGACAGCATCTGTATGGGAAGCCTGAGTTGAGCCATCACTCTTATTGTCACTGTTCCCAACTCTGGCATCATCATTAGTGGTAAAGACATAGACCTTTCCTAGTCTCACAAGTTTATGAGTTTACAACATAAGGTAAATAAAAACTAGGAGAAGGCTCGAGTTGCCTGCCCGACTTACCAGACGAAAGAGGGAAATGGTGTTTCCTGTGAGGTTGTAGTGGGCCAGAACCTGGGGGTCGGTGCTGATTCCAAATGCCACGTCTGGGAATTTTTGTACCGCATCACGGAATATGGACACTGTTGGTATTTCTAAATCCTAAAAACAAGGGGAAAGAAAACCCCACAAAGGCTATTTCAAAGGTGACATGGAACCAGAATAGGGAATTGAAGTGTGCTCACTCATACTAAAAATCGGAGACTTGGTTTAGTGTCCAGGGGAGTCATTTCCAGGCTGAGTGGGTTAATTGGCAAGTACAAAACTGTGTCTAAGCCCGGGACGCCTCTCTGGCCTTCCCATAGAACTCGCAGTTTGTTTGTAGTCCACAGGGGCCTCAAAATCACAGGGCCTGCAACTGTGGGCGGCATTGTCAACGACATACCCAAGAAGGCAAATGTTTTAGGAACAATTTGTGTAGGCAAAAAGAAATGCCAAAAATAAGAAAGTGTTATCAAAAGGGCCCCCCCCAAAAGAAATTAAAAGGGAAACTTACTAGTTTTGTTAACAACAGGTTGTGCAAAATGTGGAAGAACAGTCCTCCTACTGTGTGTAAGCCAGAGAGGCATTGCCCATGAAGGATCCTGTTCGTGACTTGTTCCAACTCTGGAGCGGCAGGGGGCAGGGAAGCCACTTTTGAGTGATGAGTCCTCATTATATCGCAAGCTGACATAATTTTCCCTGGTGTCGTAGGACCATTGCCCACAGCAGCGCAATGGTAACAATCAGGGCTGAACACATTCTGCTCTGATGCCTCTCTGGGTTGAAGGAGATGTGCAAATGGAAAGGAAGAAGGCTGGCCTTGCCTCTGAGCTCAAGCGGAGGGGCCCGGCACCTTGCTTATCTGAACATACGCGTGGAGGTCACCGGAGGCTAATTGTTAATCTAAGCTTCCCATTTTTCATTCTGCTCTTAAAAATGGAATTGCTTACAGATCAAACGTCGGCATCTGGTGGCTGATTTAAGTTATTGCACATGGCTCCATTTCCACCTCCTTGCCCCTCCCTGCCGTTCTGAGGGTGGCTGTTTTGGTCTACACCTCAGATCTCTCTCATCACTGAAAAATGTGCGCTCTTCTCTTCCTCCCCCACTTACACCTCATCACAGCTATTTCCAGCTGTGTACACAAAATGGCAGGGTGATGATGAGTTGGAATTAATGAATGGAAACTGACAAAAAGGTCTGCAATGAGAAAGGGCTTGATCAGCTGTGAGAATCACCAGATGTTAACCTCCAGAGAAAGATAAAGGTGCTAGAATAATGATCGCTCCTTTATGGCTGCTTTCATTAGCCAGACAGTCAACCTGGAAGATGGAGGCTAATACCTTCCATATATGAACCATCATTCTTTTTTAACACTTCAGAACCAAGAGACAGAAGACCGAAGGGCTACCTGTCTGGATGACAGAAGTTGGACTTACTCTGGCCGCTGACCCAGCAATCAGATACTGGCTTAAGTTTCAAAGCAACCACAGATGAGGAGACCCAGCCAGGAGCCTCAGAACTTTTGAGAAAGACATACTTCAGAGACAGGAAATGCCTAAACAACTGAGAGTTCTCAAATGAAAAAGCTGAAAGCAAACTCTGAGCCCCTTGGTTTCTAATGTAGTGTCATCCTGGCTAGATGGAGACTGTCACGGCTCCTTTGAGGCCAAGTTCCAGTTCTTTGGGAGAATAATGAGTAGGGCATATGGACAAACCTGGAAGAAGCCTATGAGAGCCACTTCGGCAGCAGCAATGAACTCCATGGCTTCTGGGACACCTGTGAGCCGCACAGGTTCCTGGGGAGCAGGGGAATCATCTACACAGAGAGACAGTGAGAGGGAAGCAGAAGGTATTAGGGCACTGAGTAGGGAGCAAGCAGCTCCATCCTGCTTCTCTTCCCTCGAAGGCCAAGGAGCTCTAGGGGTGCAGTTATTATTCTTCCAAGGCTTTATTTATTTATTTGTTTTCCCAACATATGGAGGGTGACCCCACCGTATGGCTGCTGTCAGAAGGGTAATGCCAGACCTCTCCCCTCCCCACTAGGCAGGCAGCACAGGTGCTTATCCAGCATGTCCCGGGGAATCTCCAAGATCTGGAGGACAAGTATGTGGAGTGTTACCTTGTTCCCTTCCCTTCTCTTAACAACTTTCACCCCACAGTCACCCAAGTTTGTTTGTGTGCTTGTTTTACCTGAGGCTTCTTGAATTTCTGCAACAACATCTGGGGACAGCTTGCACGTGAAGAGAAATAATAGAAACACGCATCCGGGCAGCATCGCTTCCATTGCTCTTCTGCTCCTGATCCAACCCCTGACTCTGTGTTCCGGGACACGGGTGCAGGGCAGCCCACCCTGTGGTTGATGGACTGTGTGTTGTCAGAGCTTTGGGAACTTTGCAGCTGGCGCTAGGGGGACCTTCAACTTCCGAGATAAAAGGCCAAATTTAGTGACAGGGCCTCAGAGCCAAACCAACCCAAGGAAAGTCAAGTCAGTTCATTAAAATAAGAAAAAAAAATTCCATGCCTGGCCTTGCCCTGAGCAGTAGGCATACACAGACGACTTCGGTCTGATCCAGCCTCTCCCAGCTTAGATTGTTGATGTGCAAAATGGACAAATAAACCGATTGTTTAAACATAAAAAGGAAAATGAAAAAAAAAACTAGAGACTCATAGGGTGCTATGAGAGTACAGAGTAAGGACATTCAGGACAGTGATGGGGTTCAGTGAAGTTTTTTTTTTCTATAGGGCTTGGCTGAACAGAGTCCTGAGTAAATAACTTTGCTAGGCACCAAAGATGAAAAGGGAGTTTCATGGAATGAGCCAGAGATGCAAATGTAGCGTGAGAGAGAATTATTATTAGCTGAGTATTATAAAGGGAGGGCAATGGTAAGTATGGGTAGGAAGGCATGCTGGGGCTGGATCGAAGGGCAGGCTATCAGCTAAACACAGGAGCTTCGCTTGTATCTGGTAGGTGGTGGGAATTCATTGAAAGATCTTAAGCAGAGGAGAAACAATGTCTGATTTGGCCCCCAGGTCCCTGCGGATCTCCAAGAGGCTCCCATAGGTGGTACGATGCACAGGTCTCAAGATTGGGAACTACCACGGCATGATAATACTATAAATGAAACAAATTGAGATTTTCTTCCATTTATACTCTGCAGGCTCATTGCCCGTTGCAGGAGCAGGGGAACCAGACTGTTCCCAGTGGTGTAAATGTCCCCTGTACTACCCCACCCACTCGGAGGAAAGTCACAGTTGTGAACCATCCAGTTACCATATTTGTTCAAATGAGAAAGCAAGAAAATGAGGGTCTCAGTGAGGTCATACAATTGTTTTATTCATACTCTCTTGTGCTGTTTAAGTGTCTCCCAGGAAAGAAGAACCCAAGTGGCAAGGAATGTGGTTCGGGACTGTCACTGAGCCAGCAGCAGCCACAGCATAGTCCAGGGGTGGGATGAGCACTGGAACCCAGGCAAAAGGATGGCTAGTGATTGTTTGCCCACTTCCTGGCCTCTAGTTCCTCAAATGAGAACAAGAGAGCCAACACTAAATGGTTGCTTATTAAGGAACAGAACTTCGAAGATCTGGCCGTGATGGGGGATCAGAAAAAATGGGCAGGATGAGAGCCTGGGTTTTAAGTGTCCAGTGCGAGGGGCGACTCTGAGAGAGAGAGTGGGAGAAGATGCATCAGTAAGAGGCTGTGAGGGGGGTTGGGAAGGGGCCCAGCTATGATCAGGGTGGAGGGCCAGGGTGGTGAACACAACTGAGAGGGTTCTTCCAGGTGGCAGGGGCAGGGACAGGGTTGGGCAGTGTGCTCATTCTGTCCACTCCTTCTTAATGGACAGGTTCCACTCCCAGGTGAGGTGGTCGTGCTTGTCATCGTCGGTGAAGAAGGACTTGTTGTGGTAGGTGCCTCGGGCCAGCATGCCTTTGGGAGCCTCCTCGATCGGAGTCAGGAACTCATACTCTTCTGGCCGAGGCCCGTAGCTGCCGACCATAAATGTGGCTTTATCCACTGGGAAGAAAGAAACGTTCGTCAGGGTAAGAGTCTGATAGAGAAAAAACAAACACTGTGGACTGGAGACCTGGAGCATAGTTCATAGTGATCAAGGCCAAGAGCGATAGTTTCCAGGCTCGGCTAAGCATCAGATTTCCTGGGGCCACCTTTTTCTTTTTTAGTTTTTTAAAAATCTGAGTGCCTTTTAGTACTATACTTTCTTTTAACCTGCTTCCAAAGGCCATGGTTCAGTAACCTGCTGTCAGTCCACCAAATCAGTGTTTTTGGAAAGCATCACAGCTGATTCTGCATATCAGAAAAATTATGGACTCAGTGCCCTAAGTCAGTGGGGTGAAAAATGTTTCATCTTTGTGGAGATGTAGCAGATTATACCATAAAAAATACCAGGTGTTCAAAAGGTATAAAATTCCAGTTATAAGGTATGTAACTCCTGGGGATGTAATATACAGCTTGGTATCTATAGTAAATAATATCATATTGTATATTTGAAAGTTGCTAAGAGAATAGATCTTAAAAGATCTCATCACAAGAAAGAAATTGTAACTATGTGTGGTGATAGATGTTAAGTAAACTTATTTTGGTAATCATTTTACAATACATATCAAATCATTATGTTGTATATCTAAAGTGAATACAATGTTATATGTCAATTATATCTCAAACAAACAAAAAAACCTCAAGCCAGGTGAGACCTGAGTTCTTTTCTCAACTCTGCAGCTACCTAGGTCATATAACATTTTGGGGCCTCCATTTTTTCCCTCCATATTGAACTTTAAGGATCTTTCATCTACAGACTATCACCCTATAAAGGCATCAATTGGGGGAGATAAGGTTACAGTTGGTGATCAAAGGGAACACAATTCATGGGTAGAATAATTGGATTAAAGGGGAAAATCAATAATTTAGCTTTAAATGTAAGAATTGGGACAAATGGTGAAAATAGCCAGCCAAAATTATTAATAGATGAATAACTGGGATATACATTAAGAACAAGTAGGGGATTATAAAGTATAGATACGGGCAGGTAGGTAGATAGCAGGCAATGTGTCGTTAGCTGTGAAGTGTTGTGAATAATTCTGCAGGAACAACCACAGACACATTATAACCCTCTCCACTAAGTGAGGCAACGTAGTCTCTGTCCAAAGGAAAATAGGAAACCGCACTGTTTTTTTCATGAGACTAGGTATTGGAAAGACCAATTAAGTTCTTTCAGGTCAACAACCATCTGTGGGATGCGAGTAACTGAGTGGTCCTCTGGGCTGTGCAAACGTATTAGACAATTTCTCCCCTGTCCCTTGTTTCTTGATTTGGTGGAGCTGAGGCATTACTGCTCCACACCTCTGTGGGAGGGGGCACCAAAGGTAAGGGGAATGGTCAGGGTGCGCCCATCAGCTTTTCCCTTTTCATTTCTCCTCACCCACACAATGGGAGAGAACTGAGGACAGGTGCCCAAGGCCCGGAAGACTGCCGATTAAGTCACGTTATATTATTTTTCAATGAGGCAGCTTTTCTTAATTCCAGAAAGATGTTTTTTTCTTTTTCTTTGTTTAGGAAATTAAGCACTGCCCCCCACTATCCCCATTGCCGATTCTCATTCCCAATAAACACACATGCCAGGGGATAGGTCTTTCTGTCTTCCCTGTCTGCGATTTCTCTGACTCTCGGGTTCACATCTGTGAACTGCTTTTCTTTTCCTTTTTTACTTTTGGGAATACTTTTGTGTACTTTATTTTATTCAGTCTTATCTTGGTTGCTCTTCCCCTCAATGAGTAAAAAAGTTGAATTCCAGAAGCTGAATGCCTAAGGTTAGTGGCTGACCCAGGCTAAACTAAGTCTCCTGAGTGTAGGTCTTGCCATTAACCTCTAGGTCAGAAGTATATGTGTGCCTTTACCTAGGATGAGTGTCCACAGCTTTTTAAAAAATCAGATTCTTAAATGAGTCTATGCTAAAAACTTGATAATAACCAGAATGGAAGTATTAGTGAGAAGCAGATTGGGGGACGGTGTGAGGTGCAGGTCCCTTACCTTTCACCCCAGTCCGGTAGGTGTGCTGGACATATTTCAGGCCCGACACAATGTCTCTGTTCACCTGGGGGTGGGAAGGATACGAACGATTCAGATTAAAGAGGTCTTTCATTTTTCCTCATGATTCATTCTGACCCTACCTAGCTGAGTCTTCTCTGAGGATAAGAAGACAAGATCCAGTTTAGAATAAATGTTACTATTATCATTTAGTGTGGTGGTTGGGCAGAGATTGGAAAGAAGTGTTCACAAGACTCCCTGCCACTAATCTGGTTTTAATCATTGAATACTGTGATTTTGGGGAGGTGTGGTTAATTAAAACATTGTCTCAGTATTTTTCATTACATTTCTCCTTCCTCAATGGTCCAGAGAATGGTCTTGAGCCCTCACTGCCTGACACTACTGGCCAGAAGACTGTTTTTGTCTTAGGACAGACAGGTTACAAAGCCACTGATGGGAAATGTTATGTAAACATCTGAAAATCCCAGCCTGAGCAATGACCCACCCAGTAAATGAAAGACAAACAACAAGGAGAAAAGCCATAATGGAAAATCAGGTCGAGAGGATGGTTGTGCCTCTAATGTAGGTATAATCGGAGGTCGAGAGTTGAGGAGATAGGTCACAGGAAAACATCCTCCGATATGTAAATAATGAGTAAAAGCCACTTGTGTTTGGCGAGTATGTTGGATGTCTGTCATTTGCAGACGTTGTCTGAGGTCATGATACTTTCCCAAGCCTTTCAAAGAAAATGCACTAAAGCAGAATGAAAATAGAGACAGTCCAAGCTCTTTGTTTTTCCATTAGTCATTTTACCTAGGACTGAACTGGGTTGTCTGTTAATTTTATACGGTGGTCATGCTTATACAAACAGATTAAAGTGGACATTGCATCATTAGCTGGAAGACTTGGTTAATTGTTCACTAATATGAAGAATTTAAGCCTCTTCTAATAATTTCTCCTCCACAATAATTCTGGCTCCCCTTTCATTTTGGACAGAGTAATTAAAGCAGCCCATCAGCGCTCCATGGTTGGTGATGAGGTAGCACTGCAGTGAATGCTGCAGGCTGGGGTTCTGTCACTCAGAAAACTTGGTAGTATAAACCCATCAAAAGCAGACAAAACAAAAACACACTGAAGACATTGTGATAAAACAAACCCCAAACTTTCTAATCACTCTGACTCCCACAAGCGCTTCATAAAAATAGGGAAAAATAAATGGATCTTTCTAGAAGTCTCTAAGGTGGGCCTTTGGGCCTAGTAGGAGGTGTGGTCTGGTGGGAATGAGACCTAACAACAGGAATAATGGTGCCGTAGGGATAAGGACTTTAAAACAAAGTGTTTCCTGTTTTTCGACTACTCCATAGAATGTCCGTTTAATATAAATATGTTTGAGATGGATAAAAAAAGTCTGAATATTCTTAGCATTCTCTTCCTCTGCCTGAGCGCCCTTTCCCTTTGTCTCTCCTACACCAGGGGGAAGAAGCCTTGGCGATGTGAATGGAAGTAAGACCCGTGGAAGCCAGAGACACTCCGTTTTCTTAGGAGACAGAAATAAGAAAAGCAGAAGCAGAAAGGACCGTCTCACGCCCGACCGTCAGAGTGTGGTGAAGTTTCAGGGAGAAAGAGAACGCTGAGAGCAGCTAAGCGAGGCAAAGAAAGAGGGGTTGAGGACACGCCGCTGGTGTTAGACATGCAGACTTTCTTGGATATTCTTCAAGTGTAGGGTTAAACTGCTTTTCAATTACTTTGACTTTTGAGCTGCTGTTTCTTCTAACGGTAGCTTTGCGCTGGGACCGGCCACGGAGCGGTTCAGCTTCACTGGGGCTACCCTTAGAGAGTGAGTGATGTTTCTCCAGTGAAAGTCAAGGCCAAACCTCTGAGGCGGATGAGACTTGAAACCCCTTTCCGGGCCCCCCTCCTCCATCACCTTACTGTGTCACCCTGACCGAGGAAGACCCTCACCACCACGCTCCTCCTCCGCCTCCTCACCTGGAGCAGGAGCCCCGACTCCACACCCTTTCTTTCTCATCTCATTCACAATAAAATTTACCTGTCATGTTTCATTTGACTTGATAAAAACATTCCATTTGATAAAATCTGGCTTACTAAAGTGACACATCAGGGCAATAATATTAATGATTACAAACTGACCGCTGTGTGACCTATGCTAGGCATGTTTGGATATAATGTTTTGCCGAACTCTCAGGGGCGTTAGTAATAAATAGTACTACTGGAAACAAGGACGTGAACCATAGCTCACTGCCTGTTATAGAGCAGGCATCGACAAATATTTTCAGAGTGAAATTATTTTGAGGCATATTTGTATGTGGTGGAGAGTGATTGTTCCTGGCCCCCAATCCCACTCTGCACCAGGGAAAGAAGGGCCTGGTGTGTAAATAAGAGGGGGGAGGGGCTTTCCTCTCAGGAGCCCAGGCCCTGGAGGACATGATTGAGTGGGAAGAGTGCAACCACAGCAAACAGAAGCAGGTAGGAGCAAACAAGGAATTTCTCATCTGTTTGTTTTCAAATTCAAGGTTATTTTTCTCCTTGATTTTGGCTGCTCACTGGGATGTGTGCCTATTCATTGTACAGCCATTTATCTCCTATTTAGCTTTGTGCTTACCTATTCACCTGCTCCACAAACTAAATTGTAATCTTCAGTTATTTACCAAAGACCACACTCCTTGGCTTCACATAATAATTATTGAGCAGTTAGAGCTGAGGCTCTATCGACTCTATTTTCTTTTCCTAATCATTCATCCATTCATCTATTTCTTAATAAGTATTAACTAAATATTTACCATTTACAAAGTTCTTTGTGAATTATTGGGAAGAAGGGATATATATTCCCTCCTGATCTGGACCAGCTTAGGCTGTAGAGGGAGCAATGGCACAGGTGGAGCCATCCAAAGCAGCATGTGCCTCGTCAGTGGGAGTATCACTAGTTCACAGAGAATGATTCCCACCGGCTTAAGTGACCAGTGGGGGAGGTCCTGGTTGGGAAAAGGCAGAAGGCAACGGTGTGACTCAGCAGGTGGAGCCCAGAGTTGGGGAGAAGACAGTGCAGCTCCAGGGGAAAAAAGAAAAAAAAAGTATGCCAACAATGTAACGCAAGAAATCTGATTCTTTTTCTTTCTTTGATTAGAGGAAGAATTTAAATTTTATAAAACACATAGGGCAAGATACTTACTTTGAAGTGAATTTTGACTCTATATTCAACACCTTCCTTTAGAACAAAAGTTTCTTTTTTGAGGGCTTCAAGATCCCCTGTAGAAGTGAATTTTGAAAGAGTTTAATCTCCTCAGAAAGAGATACAGTAAGAAGTTGATGAATGAAGTTTAAGCTCCAGAGCCTTTCGCTGGGCCCATCAGAGGGACATGGCCCACATGGCCTCCATTCTAAGAACATTTAAAACCGGTGGCTTGAGGTGCCTGAAATCTTACAGCTAGATAGAGAGGAAATGTGATTTAGTTCGACAACAACCCTAAGAATATACAGAACATTACCAGTAACGAGTTAATGTACAAAAAATAAGACTTTCCTAATTGTCAGCAATAAAAACAAGTTTTAATCAATCATCCTGGAGGAAAGTCTGAACTATCTTTCTATTCGTTGAAAACGGCATTACATGTATGTGGTCAAACAAAAAGATGACTAAAGAATTAAAGAATACACCCTATACCTCAAATAAAGAAATATAGGGAAAATATTACATAAGAGCACCAGCTATTGGTTTCTGTAGATTTGGTCGCATTTGTGACATTTTGTAGTTTTTACCAATGTACTTGTTTTGATTCCCTTTTTATCATTCTAAATAAATGTTCACTTTTGTACTTAATTTTGCATTTGCAGTTTCATATCATTTTTCTTAAGAAATGTCACTTAAGTTGTAAAAGCTTTGGGCTCCATAACAGTGGGGCCCGCCCTCCTTTCCCGTTGCCCGGTTAGAGAGACAGTCATTCCCTGTTCTTCCCCCGATGTGACCCCGTACAATCAGACACTCAGCAGTGAGTGCCAGCTGCGTGCAGAGGCTTGATGCTCGGGGCTGGGACCGGCATACTATATATATCTGGAGTTCAGCTCTGTAGCTTCTTTGTGAGAGAAAACCAAATTTGGGTGTCCTGGTGCTGGGAAAAGGGACAGAGACCACGCTTTTTCTGCAATAACATCAAGCCCTTCAAAAAAAGTACAAGTTTCCTTCACACTAATTCGGACCTTACATTACAAAATGACATCTGTACGTGGTAATATTACACAGTTTCCCAAAAGAAGGGTCTGAGTCCTGGTGGGAGAGAGAGAGCGTGGGTCTCTCCTGGAGGGTTGCTGGGCCGTGGGGGCAGTTGGATTTGTGTGTCTGTTCTAATGATTTCAGTTGAAGAGGAAGCACCTTCTCAGCCTCTGATTTCCTCCCTCTGACAGAAAAGCCATATAAGGTAAAAGTGGATGCGTTTGTGAGAGGGGAACTACCTTGCTGCTAACTAAGCCTGCTGTTCTAGTCATGCTGTGCTTCGTCTGAAGGTTCACTTTTTCAGTCAGGTAATTTGTGTTTTCCACAAAAGGCCTGCCTTTTACCCCCAACCTCTTAGCTCTGTGGCCCTTACTTCCATTGGGTCCCATTTCCCAGTGTCTTCTTTTCTCCTCAGAACCTAAGTCCCAGGACAGGACTTGACCCTTGTCACAGTAAAGTGGGAGAAAATAGCATCTTAATTTGTACATTTTTTTCAGGAGGCAAGGAATTGCTTGTTTAAAAAATCAGAGCTTTAAGTTAGTATGTTTTTAACAGTGGAAATCCTAGCATTATTCATGAGGTCTTAAATTGCTTCTTGCCTTCAAGTAAGTTCTATAGCTGATATAACATCAATACTTTCTCTGTCATTTAGATTGTTGTAAATATTACAATTCCTCCATACATCATGCTTCGTAGTATTTTCATCTTTTTACATGAATAGGAATTCTGCTCTCATGTGCAGATAAAAATCTCAAGTAAACCTGTTACAAGTAAATATACGCAGTACCTATGGGTGAACCCTCTTCAGCCAGAGACAGAGGTTGGCTGTCCCTAAGCATGGTCAGTACTGTGTGCCTGAGAGCAGTGATGTGTGCACGGGTCGCAGCCCACGCATCTCAGGGACTCACGGGGTTTCCTTTTGCTGGGAGCGGGGACAAAAAGCAGGTTTCTCCAATGACATCATTAGCACCCTTTGAACAGATGTGCCCACTTACCAGTGAGGTCCATGGTGATCGGTCCTGGGGCAGTCTCACAGACCAGGGTAAGGCGGGTGACAACGACATTGGGGGCTGTGGGGTCTGCGGGTTCAAAATGAAATGTAAGTCTAAAGAAGAGACATGTATGTTCTCTGTGTGTGCACATTTCAAGTACAGAGTATAAGAAGAAAGGTGATAGTTCTACCTGGAGTAGAAGTGGACATGGTGGATTCACCATGCTTCATCACAATGGCCTTACAAATTACAACCACGTGATTATCTGCTTCCAGCCCCTGCAGGTCCATCTTAGTGATACACAGCAGAGATTTCCTGAGTGACTATGGGTAAGGTACTGTCCTAGCTGGGCACTGCTCATCCTTCTCTTTGGACCATGTCTTGGTCTGCCATAGTGTATGTGGAAGGGACAAATGATTCGGTAAAGAGTATGAAGGAGAAAGAGGAGATGGAGAGAAAAATGTGAGAGAATGGAGAAAATACAATTCTAAATGGTAATTTGAAGTTCTTTCTGAATCCTCCCTATTAGTTATTTTTCATTGTTTCAGTGCTGACTTGCACCTTCTCTTCAAATAAGATATAATTATACAGTTCATAACTGTATTCAATGTCTATACATCATGATCCACTCACTTAACCCTGGAACCTCTTGGTACTCTTTCCTTCACCCCGGCTGCTGAGTAGCAGAAGTGCACGCGTCTCTGGGACCCTCCACCTGGCCCCCATCCTCATGCACACACCTGCTATCACAGGGCCATCCCCCAGGAGTGTTTTCTTGTACTTAGTTAGACTCTCATCATCTTTGTCCATCTCCTGCAGCTCTTGTAGGGACTTCTGAGGTGGAGGCTTATAATTGAGCTTCCCGTCCAGTTCATCCTCCTCCTCCTCCACGTGTGGTTCTGGGGCTTTTTCAGTCATTTTGATCTATTTTGGAGACAGATAGGATGATAGTCTATTAGCCAAAATCAATGGATGTGGACAATGTTTGTAAGGGTGCTGTTGGCATTATCTTTGCCCTAATGGACTTCCATAGTTGTCAGTGATTTTCCAGGAAATATTCCCCTGATTTCATCTCATTATATTTCATGAAATAAAAATATAATGCATTCCAGTCTTTTCTCTGCCATGCCTGATTTTCTTTTGTACTGTAATGAGTTCCACCTATTTACTGAATAAAACTGACCAAAATGAGTTTATTTGTGAATGATATGCTGCAAGTGAAGCAACTTAGCACCAGCAGGCCTGGCAATGAGAAATGGCCCCAGTTTAAGTAGTTATAGCAGTTATCACAGTCCTCCACGCCCAGCCAATCTTGCTAGTATCAAAGTTCTGAGAATGTACAATCTAGATATGATAGTTTCAAGAGACAGGCAGAGTGCTCGCCAAAGAAAATTGGCTTCTTCCCATTAATTGACTGTTCCTCTGAACTCCTGCAATACCTCGAACGTAACTCATGAGAAGTTGTAGGACCCCCATGGTACCTGCCTGAGGTGTCAGAGTAGTTGCCACTCAACACAGCTAATAATTCCTTGAGGGCAGGCACCAGGTTCTATGTTTCTCTTGAATCTCCTATCACACTTGAAATACTTGAGGTATTTTATACACATTCATTGATTGATTTACTGGGTTTCTCTGTTTTTCTGAAATAATACAAAATAGCAAAGGACTCCAACTTTTTCTAGACAAAATTGTAATGACGACTTTTCTACCTTCCAATGATCTTCCATTTGGGGACCTACTTCCCTTTCCTTCCACTGCATTTCCAGTGACCTTGTGCTCTGATATCTCATCTGAGCATTCCCTAGAGCCTGTCTTTTTTCACCGTCATCTACATTCTGTGTTAAAAAAATTGAGGGGAGATCTAATAAAACTATTCACACTTAAGTGTTAATGACAGAATAGTAGGTTTAACATTTATTCCTCTTCAGGAATGTATAGTCAGAGCTTTTCAGAGCTGAAGGGAACTTTAGGGGTGACAGGTTGCCACTTAATCATTGAGAAAATTGAAACCAAGAGGGTCAGAGAATTGCCAAAGTTCACATAGCTAGATGAGAGGCAGTGTCCTAATAAAGAGGAAGAAAACTCTCTAGTTGGAGAATTTTAGGCCCCATGACAGGCTCCATGGTTTGAGCTACTTGGGGAAACAAGGGAGGTATTTGGGCAAGGAGATCATTTCTTGATTTCCATCAGTTCTACCCTGAGGGTAACTCCCTCTGCCCATGGGTATAGGCTTCGTTGCTCCAAAGTGGCACAATTATAGGACAAAAATCTATCACCTCTCATCCTGAGTGACCCTGAACTATAAAGTGCCCTGAGAGTGAAGTTATCTCTGGCCAAAATCAGCTGTGGTTTGAAGTTTCAACGCCACTCTCATTGGCAACAGGAAGAAAAATAGTTTGGAAGTGAAGTAAAAGTAATTTTAACAGAAAAAAGAAAACAACAAGAAAATGGTATCTCTTGGCTCATTGAATCTCTTCCAGCAAAATGAGAAGTCAAACACGATGGGCCTGGGTCAACTCTGAAAACAGCCTTGCAATGCTCAGGTCCTCTTCCTGTGTAGGAAGGAAACATGTAGGCTGTTTCCATGGTAACTCTTGCCTCAGCTGAAGAACCAGAGCCACTCAAAGCTGAGTTCTAAACAGCACAATAAACATAGTGACTGATTCAGCTCACATTCCAAACAACACTCAGGGAAAGTAGTGAATGGACTAGTTGGAAAAAACAATGAAGAAGGCAGTGGGTGGAGGTTGCAGGTCATGGGTATTTTAAAGGCAATCAATCACCAGGGGGCAGATGAAGAGTAACCCAGAAGAGACCAACTAGATGAGACAGGTTCTTCTCTGCTGACATTCAGGAGCCTAACCGAATACCCAGGGTGGAAGTCACATAAGAGACTTGAGGATGGAGCCTCAGGAAGGCTATCTACACATGAGCGCATCTCAGCCATGGACAGGCCTTTCTGAAAATACATTGCAATGCTAACAAGTCATCTGCTTAAAGTCTTGACTATTAGACTTCACACTAGGCTGTGAATTTGCTAAAGGTGATTTCAATAACCTGCAGAAAACTGTAATTCTGCACCCTCAAACCTCAGTTCTGAAAAGAGAATAGGAGAATGAGAGAGAGAGGAGAGATTGTGAGAGAGAGAAAGAGAGAGAGAGAGAGAGACAGAGAGAGAGAGAGAGAGAGAGAGATGTGGATCTGGTCTAGGACAGGATCCGCTAACCCTAACAGTATGATGATCATGGGCAAGTCAGTGTACCTGTCATCCAAATCTTGATCTGCTCATTAGTAAACATGAAACTTATATAGTTCTATATTTCCTTGATTTATTGCAAACAGATACAATTTATTTAAAGACACTGAAGAGCAGAGGACAATGTGGGATTACTATATGAACTTGTTGCAGTCAAAAGGAGGACAAATATTCAGGACCACATAACAATAATTCGGTCTAATTATGTAGCCTAGGAAAAAGGAAGTACGAGGCTAGACAATCCAACGCCAGCTCATTCTGGTAAACTGATTAGGAAAAAGATGAAAATTTCATCCTACGGCGCATAATGGACTGAAAAAAACAGTTCTCAGGGAAAGCCCCTTTAAAACAAAATTAAGGTCACAAAAATTTGGTGAGCACCAACTGTTTACAAGAGACTGTGCTTAAGAACATACTGATGCTTAAGTTAGTCTCCAAAATGGAGGAGCCATTGGAGGGTGAGCACTCTGGTTATACTGAAGAGGCCCAGCTGGTATGATGAATTTTTGGAGATTACAGATCTCTAATAAACATATAATAAAAGTCATGGTCTTTATAAAAGGAAAACAGCAATATACCCATGAAACTGTCCATGCAGTTCAGGGGGTCCATGGACCCCTGAAAACTTCATTGACTTTACTGGAGTCCAAGATTAAGAACATGACCTTGAAACTATAACTTTTGGAAACATGAAACAAGAGTTGAGAAAGTTTCCTCCTCTCTAGGCCTGGCCAGGTCAGTGACACAACTTAACCTCCAGGTAAGGGTCAGGTTTATGCACCCAAAATGTTGGGTATGTAGAAGCAGAAGACATCAGGTGACAGCTGCCTCTGAGGGAACATGACCACAAAGTTGGGCAGAGGAGCCGAGGTACCTAGGGAGCAGGTCTGTAGGAGAAGAGTTCTGTGGTCAGTCTACTTGATTTTGGATTATTATTTCTTCTCTGAATTAGGCCTCACTGTGCATGGGTTTGGGTTCTGGCTTTGCTACCGACTAGCTGTGACGCCCCGAGTGAATGTTTCAACCACTATAGTGCTGCTTTTCCTCATCCTGGGAGGAGTGACAGCAGACCTCTCTAGGTCTTTCCTTTTTCTAAGGCCTCTGTCTGCATATTTCTCCTGACTCAAAGACAGGTTGGGCTACACTGGTGTTCAGTTACCTTATTTCTATTACTGGGCATATAAGAGACTATACGTCCATTTTTGGGTTTCAGATTTATGTGAATCCCCCAAAGGTGCTGCATTTCAAATTTCACAATTTGTCTCTGGGGAACCTCAGATTCTCCCAAAGTCCTAGATATAGATGGTTGATATAGTTTGACAATGATTTCCCAAAGTATATATATGCTTCCCAAAGTATATATATATATATATACACACAAAGTACGCTTGTGTGTATTTAGCCACAAATGTCAGTTTTCTGTTGGGTGCTTGCTAAAGTGAAAACCAAAATTTTATGGAAATTCTAGAGGACATTTTTTAATCTTACCATCTAAAGAACTGATTTTATTATTGATAATAATTATAATAATTACACACGGGGCGGCTAACTGCTTTGATGAGGACTACCTTCCTTGGTCCTCACTCCAGCTCAGGTGACCTACTGTGTAAGGGTCAGAGCGCAGGTTGTCTGACTTTCGACTGGTCCTCTCCAGTGTCTCAGTTGTGCTTATTCAGAAGTAATAATGAAATGATGAAGCGCGTTAGTCACTTTGGGGACGCCTCCGGTGGTGCACAGGAAGAGGTACGTGCTTCCTTGCAACACTGCAGGGATGGCTTTAGCACAGCAGGGAAGTGTCACATAGAGAGGGTTCCAGTGCAACTCTGCCTCTGTGTCACCTTGCACAAACCTCCGAACCTCTCTGAGCTCCAGGCTCATCCTCTGCAAAATGAAACTGTTGGGTTACAAGACCTCTGAGGCCTCTTCTTAACCCAGTGATTCTGAGGCTCCCACTGTAAAGAGAAAGAGCAGGTGGAGCTGGCGAGCACCTAGCCCATCAGCACAGAACATTCTGGTTGGGCTTTTCTCACCTTCTAGCTCGCCCACTGTTTCACAAAGAACTGGTTGTTTTGTTTGTTTTGATGCATGTTGTTTTTGACTTTGGTTCTTTACACAGGAAAACAACATGCAGAGTTAACATTGACATATTCAACGAGGTCAATGTGGACTGTGTCAGGTCTCAAAGCACATGTGGCTTTTATTCATGTGCTCACTGCTCCAGTTATCTCTGTTTTCTACATTCCAGGTGCCTATTCACTGATGAATTTCCACAGTGGAAATTTCACGGCCCCATGCCTGCTATTCAGCGAAACAATGATAAGGATTAGATGTGCTGAGGTGGAGACTTAGCCTTCTCCGGCTCAGTGAGAACGCCAAATTGAATTCAGATGGTTATGGCATGAGCATGACACAGCACATTTGATGTTTTTGCCCACAAATTCAGTGGAATTTCCAGGGCAATGACACTGACACACACCTACGGATGTGCACTAATCTCAGAATAGAGCACATTGTCTGGTTCATTAATGCAGTTGCAAATAAGTTGAGGGCAAGAAAAGGTGAAACTATTGAGTTTATATGAAGTGAATTCCTTGGTTAATTCAGAGAAAGGTGAGTTTCATGCCTAGTGGGGTGTGGACTTTGAGTCTGGTGGCTCAGAGACTCAAAATATGGTTTGCACTTGATTTATTACAGGACTTAACACAAATTATTAACCTCACTGAGCCCAAGTTTTACCACCAGTAAAGTGGGGATGGCGATCTTTCTGCATGAGATTGAAGAGCTGGAGAAAATGCATGAAAAGTTCTAGGACTATACTGACTAATTGTAGGTGTTCAGTAACTGTCCCTTCCTCTCCTCCCTTCCCTGCAGTGCTATCTGTTCTGTTGCACAGCTTCAGTGAAGCGAAGGAACTACTTGCCCAGGCTCCAGACATTTTCCCTTCGATCCGCAGTGTTGACAGTATCCACTCCTTCCTCCTTAAAAATAGATTTTGTTTCTTTGGGGAGCACTTGGTCTCTTCACAAGAACTTCTGGGAATTGCAAAGATTGTTTATGAACTGAATCAACCTTAAAATGAGACTGTCACTATTCTGTTTCTCTAAAACATTTCCACATGGCCAATTTAATTTTAGACTCTATTTATTGCTCCCTGTCATAATAGAAGCCGGAGGTCACTCTGTGAATGATGAGAAAGGCACAGCGAAGGGAGAGAATTCCCTCTGAGTCTGGAGTAAAACCCGTGAAGACTTGACTCATGTCCCCAAGTTGCCCGGTTATGCATCTAGAAGCACAGCCCGTTAATATTAGATAGAAGAGGAAGAGAAGGGGCGGGGAGAGAAAGAAATGTGGAAGTACCAGAAGGAGGGGGTTTCCATCCGAGAAGGACTTAGGGCGGTGAGCTTCAGCACTCTCCAGCCACCAGCCCTCTCCACTCCACTGACTCAGTCAGTCCTACTTTGCCCATGTCTGGGGCTGCAGCTCTAGAGCAGGTCATGGAGCATCCAGCCATCTCTGGAGGACGACTGATATTTCAGAGCCAGTTGAGGATTGGGTCTGCTCTGCTGCCTGCTTGGTGATTTGGGTTATTTGGGGCATCGACATTGGTCCCCTGGGCCACCAGAGCTGTGTGGGCTTTGGAGTCTTCCCTGGTGTTTCAGCGTTCCCTAGTGGCATGGAGGAACTGGTGTGTCCTGGGGTCCTCAGGGCTGCTGTCTACCACCTCACCCCGTGAAGAACACTCAGAACTGCACAGCTGCATGAAAGGAACCAGCCCAGCACCTGAGGGGACAGTGCCTGTTTAGGCGCAATAAACATTATAATACATCCTGAGGAGGGTACAAATTACTAGAAGCAGAATTCCTTAACATTTCCTTTGGTGGGAGAAACTATACATTATTTCTTGCCTGTGCATTCATAGTAATATACTCTTCTGACCCAGATTCATATGCTAAAGGAGGGGACACTCCACACCCCTTAAACTTTTCTGGGTATCTAGCCTGTGAAGTCACTGTGCCGTGCATTTTCGCAAATATTTATTTTAAGTAATCCTTAAAGAAAACTGCATTAAGGAAGTCATTATGAGCAAAAGATTATAGGGCAGTAACTCATTACAGTTTTAAATGAAGCATGAAAAATTAGAAGTAAAGATGTTTTTTAATGACTATTTGTGCTTAGAGTATCAGTCCCTCTAAGAAAACCCAAGTCGATTTTACCAGCTTCAACTGTGGATAGCAGAATGTAACAGCCCGAAGCGATTGCATGCTCATTGAATGAACAAACGTTGAACTTTTAGGAGCAACACGAGACCCATCTAGGGGTTTGCCAGTGTGGACTGACCTGGGAACAGGATGCTCAGACTGTGGTATTAAAGAAAATTTCTCCCATGGGACAATTCCTGAAACGTCCTTCTGAGGCACTGTAGCTGTCCCCAACCCCCAACCCCCTCAGTGTGTGACATTAGTGGAGTCACTTAACACTGCTGAGGCTCAGTGTCCTTCCTGTGTCCTCTCAGGATTCAAATTTAAAAGTTTAGCACACCAGGCCTAACACACTGAAGGTACTCCACATATGTGGCCTCTCTTCCTCAAGGTGCCTATTTTTTTCTCTTCAGGGCTTCTCTCTCCCCGAAAGCTGAAGTTTGTAATTTACTGTGCTCCCGTACACTGGCCCAGGCCCTCATTTTTCTGTCGCATTGGCTTTGCCGGTCTCAGTTTCCACTGAGAACAGAACCTTGAAGTTGCTCACAGCATAACCGCCTAGGGACAAACTCATGCTCTCCCAAACGAGGGGCAACCAAATTTCAGTGCCTGGAAGATGCCAGCCAGTTTCTCTTGAGCTGTGACACAGTTATTTCACATGTGCTGGGTCTGTGTAGCTCAGAGGGAGACTTAGAATCTCACCCGTCCCCCAAAAGGTTAAGATGATCTTGTTACTATGCTTGTGTCACATCTGCATTGGGAGGGGAAACCACTTGTAAATTTAACGGAAGCAAAGCAATGGCAAACATGAATGAGACCTGCCTGTGCCTGGACTCGCTCGGGCCAATATGGATTCTTTGATTTCCCTTGCTCGGTCGTCCCTGCCTTGTGAATCCAGCGCACTAACCCTGATTTTAGCAGCTCTTGGTCTCTGTGGGAAGGGGTGACTACAGGAACTCCAAGAGCTGTCTGCCTTCCCTCACCTTGAACAGAGACCGGTGCAGGGTTTTATCAGACCCACCCCATAAGTTACCCTACATCTAGAGTTTAACTGCAGACTATGTTAACTGAATAAAATATGCTGACCAGGACAGCCTCAAGAAAGAGAATTTCAGGTCATGCCTAAAGCACTTCTAATGGAGGCCAAACTCAGACCTCAGTATTTGAAAGGCCCACAAACCAGGTGTCCTAGCTGGGTCCATTTTTCTAGAATCTATCTCTTAAACTATTCAGTGACTTCCGTGTTTGCTTCTGGTTGTCTCACACATAGAGACCTATTCTTTCACAACAACAGCATTTATCTTTCTGCCCATCTCACTGCAGGAATTTAGCTTGGGGTTTTTGTAAGTGGTGGAAATTCTACTCGTGTATGACTGCTGAGTAAATAACCATGCATGCCACCTACCGTACCTCCCCACGGATAGTTTAATCCCATTGTACCCTAAGGAAGGCTTTCCTTACTCATTTCTCTTGTACCACCAGACAACTCTTCAGTGGAAGACCATTTAACGTTTGACAGCTTCTAACCTTTTTATTTTCCCTTTTCTATCAGTCTCTTTAAGTCTACTTAAAAACAGGAAACCACACATCTCCACCCCAGCACCACCCCACCATCCTCTGACAAGTTCTATATCAGTTTGGATCTAATATAGTTTTGCTCCTGAGCCTGGCAAGATGCCTGCTCCTACCTAGTAGGAAAGCCCTCACGCCCTGCCACTCCCTAGTGCTTGTGCTCACAGCTCTTCTCCAGGGCACTCGGATTTTCCCTCCTGGGCTGCAGGCTCCTTCTCCTGGCTCACCGAGCCGAGCTGTCTCCCCTGAGTCATTGCTACCATCCCCTGCTATGACTTCCTCTTCTATTGCAGGACTGTTCCGCGGTCTCCTTAGTACTTTCTTAACATGAAGTTCGTTTTAAAGAGGAACTGCCCCTCTAAAAAAATAATAAACTGTAAAGGGCTGTAGCCGAGTTTACGGTTTTCCTATGCATTTTTTTCTGTGCCCACCTGCAGCCTTCCCCACCCCACGGAATTCAACTTACATTCGGTGGTTCACGTCTCTGCCCGGGTGCCTCTGTCTCTCAACTCGGACTTCTGAGTGCTGGCAGTTAAAACAGGAAGGAAGTTAATGACAAAAAAAAAATGTTTTAAACCCACTAGAAGAGGAAACCCTGGGCTGTCTCAAATCCTGTTCTGTACTGCATATCTCTCGATCAGCTAACTCTGAGCAGCATTTGTGTCAATTAATGGCACATGTAAGAGCATGTCTGCCCATGGGAACATGGGTATGCATGAATGTTCATGCAGGGAAGTGCAGGCTGCAGCATGAGTGCGATGAATAATTGTGCAAAACGTCTAAAAATCAAGTCATTTCAGTGCACGAGCTTTCTGAGGCACCTAGTCTCAAACCAGGATCAACAAATTCCCACAGGCTTTACTTTATACCACTAACTTCTGTTTCTCTAGGGTCTCTGCCAGCTTCTGTATCCGCCAGAGATGGTGAAAGTTTGCTGGCAGCAAATGTAGGGTGCTAAGAAATTATAAATGTTAACTGCATATATTTGGCCCTAAATTTTAAAACGTGTCCTCAAACAGATTTTTTGAGTTTGGTCGGTCATGATTTCAAGATGTAGCTTTGCATCTCAGTACAAACAACCAAATGTTATTTGTTGTAGTTTTCACTATTTTTTCTTTTAAATAAAAAGAAGCCAAAGTATAGCTCTTGATTAAACCTAAGAATGCAGCTTACAAAATAAAGTAACACTTCATTAATTCATACTTTTCAAACTCAGAACGTGTGAGAATTATACAAGGATGGAAATTCACTTCGTACCATATTTGAGGAAATGGTTTGTGAACTAATTTAAATGGGAACAAGCCGCAGAGGCCGTATTTAAACCATTCGAGGGAAGAAACAGTTTTTAAGCGCCTGAGGCACATTTGTTTACTCCACATGTTTTCGTAGCTGCTGTCATTAATAAATTCTAATTCATGGTAATATCTCAATATTCAGTACTTTCATTGTTTCCATGTGTTTAGCGCTAACTAATCAAGCACATATATGCGAAGAGACTGGCACTTACTTTGCTGTCATTGACACGAACTGCATTTTGTTCACTTAGTTTTGTAAGTTGATGCCACCAGATAGATCTCCTCTGTAGCCAATGGAACCCAAACAGTCAAGGAGATGATGGGCATGTGGTGGGAGGGAAGAGGTTAATCTATAAAAATGTGAAGAGGAAAACAGTACATAAGTGAAATTAGTAAAAGCACCGAAAACCAATACAAATTTAGTTATAAATTTCAAAATGATATAGGAGAAGTTTGCCCTAGAAACAAAGTATATGACTACTGGGTTGTAAATAAAAGCAAACATTAATTACACAGAAGACAGTACATTTTGTAGCTCCGTGCTCCCAAGAGGGTACACATTTCTTCTTCCAACAACATTGGTTGAGTTCCTCTTTTCTCCCAGGTACTGAAGTTCGTGACACAGTGGTAGACAATAGACAAAGTCTCTGTGTGCTCATGGAACTTACATTCTAAGGGAGACAGGCAATTAAAAAATAACATAGCCAGAATAAATTATTTGGGACAAAAGAGATTTACACATTGGAGTGGTAGGTTCACGATCTGTATGCGATCTCTCATGCCATTTCTCACACTGTCAGGGAAAAGACCTCACTCCTCCGACAGAATCGTTTTTTCTGCTAAGCCCAACATGTCCTCACAATTTCTCTTAGTGCAATGCTTTTGGCCCAGATGCTGGAAGGTATAGAAGCCCCCCCCCCAAATGCTTGTAAAGTCAGAATGTATGAGTGCAGTGTGTGTGTGTTTATTGGGGGTGAAGAGAACATTCATGACTTGCACTAAATTCTGAAAGGGCCCACGACCTCCAAAGGATGGAGAAGCACTCCATTTAGAGCCTGTTCCTGATATACCAATAGAGTTTCAGTGCACCGGAGAACAGCTGCTGTATTCTCCTAAAGTATCTTCCAGCCTCACATTCAGGGCAGGGATCTACTCAAAATTGCCATTTCTCATTTTCCTCTGTTGCAGTTCATTGTTCGCATGTATTTGTTGGATGGGAAAACTGAGATTAAGAGGTTCCTTAAAGAAGATTAAAATGGCAGGCATTCTGCTTCCAGCCCATGCTGACAAAGATGTGCTTAGCACCAAGGCTCTCTTACCCATATCTAAGCTTCTGCAAGTGGAAGAACATGCCTGTCATGTAGGAAGACTGGGTAAAGACCTCTGCCCTGTGATACCAAATGAAATCAACAGAACCTGGAAACTTCAGTAGGAATTTTCAGAAAAATGATCAAGTATTATATTTTTCAGCTTTTCTTTGCTGTTATAAGGACACAACTGAAAGGTACATTCTAGGGAAATCTTTCATGGGGTGCTACATTTGCCACGACTAAAGTGAAAAAGTGACGCCTGCCTGCAGACTACAGAGACTTCCCCTTTCTGCATAAATATATTTCTTGGAGGCTGCATGTATAGACAATAAACTTGTAGAGAAGATTTCTGGCCTTGAAAGTTGTCCATTCTGAAAGGCGTCCATGAGGCTCAAAGAGCAGCCTGGGCTAGAGGCAGGAGCTGCAGTTCAGGCAGATATCCTGGTTCTGTCTTTTCCTGTCGGTGTGTCCTTGGGCTGGTACTTTCCTTTCTGAGCCTCAATTTCACATCTTTAAAAGAGGGATGATGTCAACCTTTAGTGTTGCTGGAAGGGTTGGAAATAGAGCATCTACCAGAGTTCTGACCTCAGAGTAAGTGCCCAGTAAATGGTCCAGGCTAAGAAAAATCATCACCATCATCATTATTTCATGATATCCTCATCACATTTTGGTCCTCATTACTGCATAGCTAGTGTTAGCATGACTAGAAAAGAGTTGTTTTCCAGGAAGCAACAAATGAATGAACAAAGCAAACAAAAAACCTCATTGACATGATGACAATGTTGTGGTTACCAGAGGGGAAGGGGGCTGGGGTGAGATTGAAGAGGGTAAAGGGAGTCAAACGCATGTTGATAAAGAGACTACAGTTTGGATGATGAGTACACAGAGCAATAATCAGATGATACCATATTGTACAGTTCGAACTTATGTGATCACATTAACCAATGTCACCCTAACAAATCTAAATTTTAAAAGACAGAAATAATAAATCAGAAAGAAGAGTTGTTTTATCTAAGTACTCACAATCAACTTGCACACGTCTCAAACCTCACTTCTTCCTTTGAAGCTTTCTTCCTCTGATTCCAGTGGGTTTTTTCTGAACTCCTCGAGTATGCATTGTTTATACAGTATATTTTATTACCTTAGTGAACACTGGTTTGTATTATTAAGTGGTTATTATTAGACTTATGTCTCCACCCAAATATAAAATACATGAGGAAAAGGCTGTGTCTTACATGGCTTGTGTTCCTTGGAGTGCCTTGACTGAATTGTGCAAGGGTTTGAGTAAAATTCTTTAGAAGTGTATCTGTCTAAATTAGGCAGAAATGCCTGCATTCTTTCTTCTTCCTCTGCCCCTCCATCTTTTTCCTCTGATGATACCGTTGCTTTGGGGGAGAAGAAGCATCGTCCTGTGTTTGCAGGGGTCACTGACACCAACTTCACTTTCTTTTATTATTTTTTTTTAGTTTCTTATTTTATTTCATTTAGTTATTCTTCAAGTACAGTTTTCTATTTCTCCCATCCCAGCCCACCCCACCCCTTGCTCCCCAACTCCCTCCCATTTCCACCCCCCTTAGTTCTTGTCCCTGTGTCCTTCATACTTGTTCCTCACCAACTTCACTTTCATATATATGACATATTAAACTACCTTATTCCAGATTTCATAACCTTGTCATAAATGCTTATTTTTAAACACAAATCCCTTATTTGGTATGTTATTTGTGAATATTTTATTCCAGTATGTAAATTGTCTTTTCATTCTCTTATCAGAGTTTTTTGGAGAGAAGTTTTTGTTTTACCTTTTTAAAGTATATTTTATTGACTACGCTGTTACAGTTATCCCATTTTTTCCCCTTTGCCCATCTCTGCCCAGTACCCCTCTTACCTCCAGCAGTCTCCCCTCAGCCCTTGGTTTATATCCATGGGTTGTGAGTTGATAGTTGTGAGTTGTCATTTTTATTTCATAGTTTTGATCTTTTTCTTAAATAAGTCTCTTTAACATTTTATGAAATAATGGTTTGGTGATGATTAACTCCTTTAGCGTTACCTTTTCTGGAAAGCACTTCATCTGACCTTCCATTGTAACTTATAGCTTTGATGGATAATCTGGGTTGTATGTCCTTGCTTTTCATCACTTTGAATGTTTCTTTCCAGTCCCTTCTTGCCTGCAAGATTTCTGTTGAGAAATCAGCTGACAATCTTATGGGAACTCCTTTGTAGGCAACTCTCTGCTTTTCTCTTGTTGCTTTTAAGATTCTCTCTTTAAGTTTAGTCTTTGGCATTTTAATTATGCTGTGTCTTGGTGTGGTATTCTTTGGGTCCAACTTGATTGAGATTTTCTATGCTTCCTGGACTTGCATGTTTACTTCATTCACCAAAGTAGGGGAGTGTTCTTTCATTACTTTTTCAAATAGATATCCAACTTCTTGCTCTCTCCCCTCTCCTTTTGGTACCCCTATGATGTGAATATTGGACTTCTTGAAGTTGTCCTAGAGGCTACTTATACTACTCTCATTTTGGGGGATCCTTTTTTCTTCTTGTTGTTCTGGTTGGTTGTTTTATGCTTCCTAATGTTTCAAATCATTGATTTAATTCCCAGCTTCATCCACTGTACTGTTGTTTCCCCTTAAGTTGTTCTTTATTTCAATTAATGTATCCTTTGTTTCTGACTGTATCTTTTTTATGTTGTTGAGGTCTTCACTAAGTTCCTTGAACATTCTTTTAAACTGTGCTTTGAACTCTGCATCTGATAGATTGCTTATCTCCATTTCATTTAGCTCTTTTTCTGGAGTTTTGATCTGCTCTTTCATTTGGGCCATGTATCTTTGTATCCTGGTTTTGGTAGTCTCCCTGTGTTTACTTCTATGTGTTAGGCAGAGCTGCTTTGACTCCATATCTTGATAGTGTGGCCTAATGTAGTAGGTGTAGAGAAGGGTCTAGTGGCACAGCCTCCCTTATCACCCAAGCTGG